TTATTCTAGTATCCACGGACAAATCGCCAACTACAGTATATTTAGTTTATTAAATTAAAAAAAGATACAGACCATCTACTTTTTTGGAAAGATTGCCCATTTTTTTAACTCATTGATTTAAATCAATTATTTTTATTGAGTTTTAAAATTCTCAGTAAACACATAAAGAGAAACTGTTTTGTTGTCTGCTGTAGCATTTTGGATTCGATTGATTTCCTCATCCAGCTGCTCTCTAGATTTTTTTCTCCACACTGGAGCGAGCTCCAGATGAATCTGTGCCTCTCTTTAACAGAAAGGTCAGACACACCTCTGCCTCTTTAGTCAAATGTCAAAGACTTTTTAAATCCCTTTCTTTTTCTGCCAGGGCCACCAAAAGTCAAGCAAGAAGACCAGTGCAGGGGATGGAAAAGGCACCCTGACTAGGATCTTCAAAATGGTAAAAAAAAAAAAAAAAACAACAACAACTAAATACATCTTTTTATGATTTCTTGGTAAACTCCAAGTTATTTACTTGTTATACTGCCCCCCTCCCTGTAAATCAATACTAACAGAAAATGGAAGTCTTGTCCAATCCTGTTCTTGCTCCTGTTTTTCTGTATTCCTCTCTGCCTCAGTGATGATCTCAGCAGCAGCAGAGTGAGTAAATGTTGAACTCACTGTGTCTTTGTTCACCATGGTAATGACATCACTCCAGCAGCCTGCAGCAGAATAATGAAGAGCTTTTAGACCCAGGATGGATCATCATGCAGCTTCATGCCGATGCTCTTATAATCACGATGCAGATCCAGTCCTGCTGAGGTCCCAGTGAGGCCGCCGCTAACGCTCTACCTGCTTTACTCAGAGCAACAGCTGCTGAGGCATCATTTATTAGCATGCATAATTAACCTTATCATGTTGGACTTCAAATGAGTTACCAGACTCCATCAGCTGCAGTGGAACACTCACAGTAAACCTGATTTATTGCTCGCTTAGAAACCTTTAATTTTCTGCCTAGTTTTAACTAATTCACAGAGTTTCTAAAATCTTTTTATGTTCCTGTCTTTGTCCAGTTTAAGTCTCATATTCTCAAATAGTTCTTGTAAAGAACTCCTGCTGCAAACACATTAAGTTTGGTCTTCTGTGGGATTTTATCAAACCTCCATCTTCTGTCTTAAAACTGAATTATCGTGGCCTGACTGAGAGCAAAGAGCTTTTCTGTCTCTAAACGATGTTAAGAGTGTTGGCCGTGGGCATCCTCAGGATTAATGCTCTCCCTCTGACAAAAGGCTGGACACACATTTAGTTGTGTTTGTTTACAGATCTCTGGATGTCTAAGCTCAGAACAGACTGAGATCAGAGATTTTCTCACATAATTTGAGGCTGGATAGTAAAACTGACTGAAAACCTTTTTAAACTGGCTGCTTTGACATCAAAATGAAAAAAAAAATCACATTCATAAAACATTCCATGCTTCTCTTCCCTTTAATCTGACTATAATTTTATATTTTATTATTTTTATTTTGCAACTTCTTGACACTTGACATTTTATTTTTTATGTCATTTTAACATGTAGAGATTCTTTTAGTTTTATGTCACTTCTCTGACAGTTCCCACAAGAAGTCGGCTCGGTCCATTCAGTCCAAATAGGTTTTACACTTTTTTTTATAAAGAAAGAAAAAAAACTTATACAAATATTGCTGAAATAAAGAAATAAATTATAGAAAATTAACTAATGAAAATTAATCATTCTAATTGAAAGTGATGATTAAAAAACAAGTATGCAAATGTACAAATCTCTACTGAAAATTAGAGTACATTTTGCTGAAAACAACTGAGTTTTTCATGCACAGTTTCTAAAAGTTTTAGAAGTTTACACCATAAATATGACTGCAGGGAAAAAATTTGGTGTTTCCTCAGTTTATAAAGGAGAGAAGAAAAAACTAAATTAAAGCACAGATGGAAGTCCTGATCTGCTCTGTTAGACTCTGAAAGTTTCAAGATTTTCCTTTTGGAAAATTCAATTAAGTTTTTCTAAGCATCGTTAGCATTAAGCTCAGACTGCTTCAGTTCTGACTGCTGGACCTCCCGCCTGTCAGCGGACGTCCTTTAAAAGCTTTGGTTTCAGTCGACACATAAGGGAGCAGCGGCCTTCATGCTCTGCCAGGTTTCTAGTTAGGCTTTTTTCTCAGGTTTTATGCCCACCTGATTGCAACATAAATGGTAATTTAGTAATTACAGGAGGAGGGCAGGAACCTGGTTTCTCCTCTGTCGTGGCTAAATTACTGACATTAAGCTGCAGGAGAGTAAAGAGCTGTGAAGCTGAGGAACCTGTGGGACATTCAGGATCCATGACTCAGCTAATCACTGCAGTCTCCAGTTTCTCATCATCATTAGTTTCCTTCTCCACTTCTAAACAACAGAACTTTAGCATCCAGCCCACTAAACTCACAACTCTTGTTTCACACTTCATTTCTGCTCATGTCTGGGTCACATTTCAGTTTACGTCCTGAAGTTTCCTCCTTCAGGACAGATAATGAAATCCATGATATGGATTATGTTCAGAATTGATCCATAAAAGTTTGTCTCATTTGGATAATCTTTCTGAATCTTCTCTTGTTGTTGCCCTCTGCGAGCTGCGTTGAAGCGTGGGAATCAAATTATTGCCTCAAAAACATATTTGATGTGAAAGAAAAGAAGCAAAAGTGAAACTTTTAAGGACAGAAAAGGAAGGTGAAAGATGAACAGCTTTTAGAAACAGATGAAAACGATAAAAACACGCAGGCTTAAAGGATTTGTGTCTGATTTTGACTGCCCCAGTTATATTACACAACATTAATTATTTAGAAACCGATTCTTACATTTCCTGTTTTCACCTTTAAAGTTAAAGACTCTCCAACATTAAATTATTCATTTCTTATCTTTGAATGATTGTATTTCATCATAGTCACCAACTCTTACGTTCACACAGACCTGTGACGTTTCAGCTCAGAATATCTTCAACAGTTTCAGGGTCACTCAGGAAACAACAACAACAGAGGAGGAACATCTTGTTTCCCAATTTGGGAATTTAAATGTCAAAGAGTTGAGGGAAAAAAGTCTAAATACTGATTTTATCAAACTTGAAGAATTAGATTGAGCAACATTCTATTAGTTTAGATTGTTTTAATTTTAGTATTTTACAAACTGTGCTTATCCTTTGAAACTTTAGAACATTTATTATCAAGTTAATCCCTTTATTCTTGATTTTTCAACTTTGATCTTGTGATTGTATTTTGGCTGTTTTCCTCCAAGTTCCAACATTTTTCCTCAGTTTTTTTTCTTTATTCAGATTTAATCCAAATGTCATCCTGGAGTTAATAATGAAAGTCATTAAAGTCACTTGGCTCCCTTCAAATGTAGTTTAAAACAAATGAAACAAATACTGAGTTACACACAGTGCAGGTTGGACCAGGGAATATAGGGATGACCTCTCATCACACTTTATTCACAGATTATTCACAGATTATTCACAGATCATTCACGGAGCTGCCTTGTGTTCCTAAATATCAATCTACAAGTCTGACAAGTTTATAAGTTTGTAAAAATTTTAATGGAACTACCTAGAATGTGAATAAAGTTATTTATGTCAGTAACACCTGGTTAAAAAGCTGAAGTTAATCTGATGCAACTAATTTCTGTGTAGTTTAAGCAACACAGCTAATCTTAACAAATGTAATTCATTGTGTTCTGTTAATCCTGCAGACGGTTAAGAAGGAATTTGTTTTATGCATCAAACTGTATAAACATGAGATTCTTTTGGCAGGAGCCTAATCTCCCCTGAGATTAAAACGAAATGAAAAAAGAAAAGATGGTTTCTGCTTTTACCAGAATTGTGCTGATGAGCAGCAGTTTTTGTAATGTTGAGAAACTTTCAGTGTAATTTAAATCTGGTGATGTTTAGTTAAATTAAATTAAAATTAAATAAAAAAAGCAGAGCTCTGATATTTGTTTGATCAATCAGACTGTGGCAGAAGAGATAAAAAAGTTATTTAAGAAAACTGTTTTACGTTAAACAGGTTCATTACTTTGTGCAAAGTTTCCTCTAAATATTTGAGTTCAGTTTTTATCATAAATCAGTGCTTTCCTTCCTTTTTGTGTTTTCATGTTTTATTTTAGTTTCATTCACTGTTAGGAGTCATTTTTTCTTCTGTGGTTTACTACAGCCCTGAAAAGTAAACACACTTTTATCACCCTGCTGTTTGCAGCACGGCCTCATCGTTCAGACAAAGATAAGAACTGAGAAGGTGACACTGACTAAACTCTGATGAAACATGAGCAAACTGCTTTTATTTCTACTAAAAAGGAAGAGACAACACATCTGCAGACTGTTTCTTCAGGTTGTTTTACTAAAAAAATGAATGATCCTCATCCAGAGCAAAGCTCAGCCCGTTACAAAACCACATCATCTGCAAAACAGCAGAACCCTGAGGGTCCCAGAGCAGACCTTTTCATGACTCTGTCAAAAGATTCTGTCCATGAACACCACTTGTTTAACCTTTATTTAATCAGGCAAATCCCATTCAGACCACAGACCTGTTCTACAGGACGTCTGTTTGATGTGAAGCTGCTGAGTCTGAAGGTCTGGATCTCCTCAGCAGAAACACGTAGGGATGATGAACTGCTCCAATCGGCCGATGGTGTTCAGTGAGGGCACCTCAGAGTCACTGTGAGGGGCTCCTTCTCCTGCAGGGTGGTCCAGCTCCACCTCAGAGTGTGAGGGGCTCCTTCTCCTGCAGGGAGCAGGGAGGAGAGCAGCTGCTCCACAGGTCCTCGCTGTAATCTGTGGTCTCCTGGGATTTGCCTGGATAATAAACTATATGAAGAGGTTTGAGAATCTCTGCAGGGGTAAATGTTCCTATGATAAGACCCAGAACTTCCTGGTCTCTGACTCAGGAACACCTCAGGATCATCCAAGCAGAGTTCCAGAATCTGTTACCTGATCATGGATGGAGGCCATTAGCTACATAAACTGAACCAGTTGTCTGGTAAAAGTGCAGACAAACCTTTCAGCAGAAGCTTCCTACAGAGGAACTCGTTTGTTTTCCCTCACATTGTTGGAGAAATGACATGTTTCAGACTGTTACAGGCTCCTTGTTTCTGGACTTATTCTGACATGTTTTGTCTTGCAGGGCAGCAGGAGTGCTTCTCCAGCCAAACGCTGAAGACCCCTCTACAGCCCCTTTCCAACATCAGGAGGGTCGTTGTTTTAGAGCTCATGGGGAGAGGGGGGGACAAAAAAGAAAAAAAACTGACCTTTCCAACAGTGTTTTGTTAACACCCTAATGTTTGCTAAAGCCCCCCCACCCCTGTTGACAGATAGCAACACAATCTGTCCCTCTGTCCATCATGTCCTGCTGCTCAGTCCATCAGCTCCAGTGTGAACCTTTTTCTGACCCTGAAGCCGCTCACGTGTGCAGCCTGAATGAGCCCCCCTGCCCCGCCCCCCTCTATACAGTTTAAGTTTCTGTGTTGTCTGTGATGCTTTTCTAACTGAACTGATGCAGAGCTGATGTAAGCGTCAGCACCAACACCAGGCTGCTCAGTGTTTTCTGTTCTGTCTCACTGTCTGCGTCTCCCCCATCACCCCCACCCCCACCCCACCCTTCACTTTGATCATTGTTTAATGAAAACTGAAACTCATTTTACATCATTAGAAACATTTTGATCATGATGTTTTTATTTCCCCGTCGTGTCGGTGCTGTAGTTAAGTGTCCTGTCATGAACGTGATGTTTGTCACCATCAGACCTGAAGCCGCCTTCATTTAATGCTAAAATAAACCATCTGAGTCCGTTTCAAGTCTAATTTACATTTAAGAGAATTTGTTAATTCCATGTTGAGTTTTTTTTCCTAAAAGAATTAAACCTGAAGAATGATGTCAGATTCAGGCTTGTATTTAACACTCTGTTGTTTTGTTTTAATGCACAGATCACAAAATGTCCGTTTGTTTCACAAAATCTCTGCTCAAAGTGCCTTCCTGACTGCCAAAACCCAATGAGCTGTGTCTTTCCAACACATAATAAAGGAAAAACACACCATTTCAAAAAGGTGCTCTTGTACTAACTTTAACAACTCAAAAGTTTTTCCTTCTTGAATGTGTGAGTTTGATGTAAAAACTACTGAAAAGGTAAAGGTCAGCAGAAGATGAGCTCCATCCATCTGTCAGAAGCAGGTGTGTGTGCTGTGCAGCATTTAGCTCTGAAACTGTGTGTGTGCTTGAGCTTTGTGAGTTTGCCATGTTTTCTTTTTCTGAATGGATCCTGGGAATGAATGTAAACAACCTCCTTATTATTGTATGTGTAATAAAACATGATCAGCCACTTAACTGAGAATAAAATCAAAAAATAAATAAAAACCATAAACCTACCCCACCCTCTGCAGTTTCAATGTGTGGTACTTTCTTTTTTTTTAAACATGACAGGACTATTAGAATAAGGGGGGGGGGGGGGTTGATGAAAAAAGAGGTGACAGGAAGTGATACTGACAGGTCAGGTCACAACTTCACAGTGAACAGAGGAAGACAGACTCATGAGGTAATCATTATTCCTGCCAAACCTCCCAGCTGGAGCAGACGGAGCACTGGACCAGTCCGGCTCAGCAACAATCAGACTTGATGCATTTTCATGGCATGTTGGACAAAGACTGGCTGTAAAATGTGAATGCACTTCCTCGAGAGAATTCAGCCATTCCAAACAAAATGTTTTCATTCCATTTAAATTCATACATTATGTTCTGCACCACATATTTTATCCTGCACATTCCACCAGCTGCATGTTCTAAGCATTTGTAGGTGTTTTGGTTTTCAAAACACAAGTTTTGTATTCACTGAAGAAATTCAGTGATTAGAGGTCATTTAAATCAGAGACAATCATCTTTATTATAATAATTAGCTCGCTGTGGTGACCCTGAAGGAAGCAGCAGAATAAAGAAAACTGTCATAAAAAGTAGACTCAGTCCAGCAGGACCTGGTTTACAGGAGCTGCACAAGTCTGAATCTACTCTCCTGCACATGATCATTTATGTTAGGCCTGAAATATCTAATTACAGCTAAATAACTTAGGAAAATGAATATTCGAACCTACAGCAGCAAAGTAAGAGTTATATCAATCAACAAGAGTCAATATCAAAAAATTAATGATTTGAATCTTTTTTATGTTATTACTAAGAGGGTACGGGATTTAAAACTAGTTCTGCTGGGACCAGCTTGTTGGAAAGATGGAACCCCCAGGGCCCTGTATTATTTGTTGATGATTGTACCTGATCAGGGTGGTGGGTCTTGTTTTGGCACAGAAAACAACAACAACAACAACAACAACAACAACAACAACAACAACAACAACAACAACAACAACAACAATCTTAAGAAGCCATCAGATTAGTTTGAATCACTTCATCACAGTTTCCCATCCTGAGCAGCTCATTGGTGACAGAAGAGAGGAAAAACTCCCTTTTAACAGGAAGAAACCTGCAGCAACCCTAACTATAGGATTTATCAAAAAGGAAAGTCTTCAGTCTAATATTAAAAGCAGACAGAGTGTCAGCCTCACAGACAGAAACTGGAAGTTGGTTCCACAAGAGAKGAGCKTGATAAMTKAAAGCTCTGCCTCCCATTCTACTTTTAGAAACTCCAGGAACCACAAGTAAACCTGCAGTCTGAGAG